AACCAGTAAGTCAAAGCCAGTTCTCTGAGAAACCCAGCTCAGCAGGAACTTGAGGGAAGGTTTACAGCTCAAAAAAGAGAAAGTGAGTGGACACACCCCTCTTGTGAAAAATATCAGCGGTAAGCACTCCAGGTGGGTGGGGCAGCAGGCCCAGGCAAAGCATGCCTTCTGGATGGTCCAGCCAACACCACGACCCTCAGAGTATGTCTGCAGCCAACACGAAAGGGGCTCAAAAGCTTCAGATTGAAAACAAACAAAAACAAAAACAGGAATTCTTTGAGGAGGCAAGGTTCAGTACTAACACAGACAGGAAAGAGCCAGAAGCTCTGGGGTTCAAGAGAGAATGACAAAAGCTTCCACACAAGCAAGTGAGTTTACACAATGAATCAGGGAAGGGCAATCCCCAAAGTCTGAAGGGATCACGAGCCCATGATTATAAAACAACGAAAGCAAGACAGAAGCCCTGAGATCAGCCACCGCCCCAAAGAGCAGATGGGACAAAAGCCCTCTTCAATGAGATGGCTGCAGGGAGCTGAAACATGCCCTCATGGAAGCCAGGAAAAGGTTTGGGAAGCACACCCTTCCCCTCCAGGGTGCACACGTGTCCCCAACCCACATATACACTGTCCTGCATGGTTTAAGCAGACACTAAATTCCCCCCAATTGTCCCCAAATAGCTCTCCCCACTAAAAAGCCAACACCCCCTTTGCTGCCCACCATACTCCCGGGCACCCCTGCAACCCACACTCCAGTCTGCCCCTTCCCCATTTCAGGGGAGAGGAAAGTGGCCATGTGGGAGCCCCAGGGCCACTTGCCCTCTCCTCTGTGGCAGGCCCGAGGGGTACAGATCTTGGTTGCAGGTGTCAGCATGCAGCCTGGGAGTTCCAGAAACAAGGAACAGGACCTTGGCTCAAGAGTACCCCTTTTGTTACTCACCCCTCCAAACTCACCTTTTACAAAAGTACCTCTCATTGGAGGACAGAAAAGCAGCAGGGGTGGGGTGGATGGGAAGGAGAGAAATGGGAAGGGAGAGAGAAAAATCACTATAATTTTGTTCCAGGAACTAGAGCAATTTGGGATTTCACGCCCTTTTGAAGCTCAATGGCATCTACTGCACTGCACTTTGTTTCGAAAGCACTGGAGTGGGTGGGAGGAGACTCTGGCAGCTGCCTGCTCCCCCTCCCCACCCACCAGCACCCTTCCCACCAACCAAGCCAGCCTGCAGGGAGGAGGCACGAGGAGAAAACTCAGAAGTTGAGGGACACTGGACCACGCTGTCCAGGCACCTGGCTCACTCAGGGCTGCAGGGCTGGCTGTGGATGTCCCTGAGGCCAGCCCGAGGACAGCACCCACGGGCTCCTATAGCGGATGCCTCACCACATGCACTGGGAAGGAGGGTTCACCCCAGTAGAGTCAAAAGCAGGGTCTCCCTGACAAGCAAAGCAAAAGAAGGGCCGTGAAAGGGTCAGCGGAAGTCCCACGGCTTCAAATCTTTCCTGTTTCCTTTTGCCCCTGCTTTCACCACGGCGGGACCCAGCGTGGTCTCCAAGCGGTGTGCCTAATCTACTTGGAATTTCCTCCTCCACCCACCTGGCATGCTCCCCACAGTCTTCAGCACTCCTGACCAGACCAGGGGTTCTCACAGCCACCCCAAGTGCCACTTGTCACTTTGAGACACCAGGAAGAGGTTCATGAAAAACGTGCTGCCAAGCCCCAGATGGAAAGAAGCTACTGTTTGGTGAGAGCCCTGCAGAGACCCTGTGCTCCTGCCTTTGTACACCTTTGCTGCCCACTCTAAGCCTGGGGGCAGCCAGAGGTTCGATGAAAGAGCACCCATCGCACAGTGGGACTAAGCAAAAGAGGAAGATGCAGGACGGAGCAGAAGCATTGCCAAAGGTCTTCCAAATAACCATTTAATAATCTCAGGCCTTTGCCGGCTAGAGCTCCAGAGACATTGGGGAGCCTCAAGTTCTGTGGTTTTCATACTGACCATAACCTCCAGCCAGAAATGCATTTGACACCGCCACCTGGGGTACACACGTATAACTCAGAGTTTCAACAACCAACATTTCTCCTGCTGCATGCTGTGCACACTTATATTTTGTACTCTCACCAATACTTTTTAAAATGATGACTTTACTAATGGGTCACGACTCACAGTTTAAAAAACACCAGTCATTAAAGTGACGCGGGGGGGATGGAACTTCATGAACAAGCACATTTAATATTATTATACAATTGTAAGCATTCATGAGGCTGGCTTTCTGCACTTAGTACCACAAAACAAGCAGCACCAGGCTCCGAGTGCAAAGTGACCAGCACTGGTAGAAAAACTGGGGAAAAGCTAGCCAACTCAACACTCTCATCTAACATTTCAAGAAAGTTAAAAATGTATGCCTTTCAAAATTCAGAAAACTTTTCTTTTGAGATATAACTTACATGGATTTGGTTTCAGTTGTAATAATGATTTTGAAATTTCAAGGAGCATAAAAGAGGGCAATGGATGCAGAGACAGGAGACACGAAATGTGGAGAAACACTGAACAGCCCCCATTTTACAGCCCCTAATTTATGAGGGACACAAGTAAGGCACAGAACAGTGCCTGAGGCATGAAGCAAGTTAGGGGAAGGGCTTGAAACCCAACCCAGGTCTCTTGGCTCAATTATTCATGGGTTCCTCCATCACTCAAAATATTTAAGAGGAACACAGTTGTGGTCTCCCCAAGTGACGCATTTCCATGACTGAGGCACAGGTGCGTCCCCGACCCTCTGCTGGGCACAGACAACTATGCTGGTCTTGGCAGATCTCAGCACTCTGTGACAGTCTCCACAGGTCATGCAACCTGGGCTCCAGCCACTCGACTCTCTCGGTGCCTTTCATCTCAGCTAAAAATTGAACAAAACAATCCTTGCTACCCCTTCCAAGAAAGTTGTAGAAAAAACAAGAGATGCTTTAAAACAAATCCTGCACACTTAAGAACAGAAGAGCCCCCAAGGGTCATTATTTGGGGTCAGAATTAGAATCCCATAACCTAGAAGACCTCACTGATTAGCCATCCCAAGCCTCATTTTACAGACAAGCCCCATGAGGACAGTGACTTGTCTAGGAAAGTCAGACTGTAGGCACCATGTTAAGCTGTCCATAGGTGAAAACTGCTACAGAAAGTAATACTAAGTACACAGGTGACGTCCCAATCAAAACGTACCAATGTCTCCAGGACCACAGGAGGAACAGGAAACTAAACACAGATCACACACTTTGAATAGGTAAGACAAATGCTTCTTGAGAGTGTCAAAGAGAGCTCAAAAGACATGACTAATTATCTCTAATCCTAAAAATAAGCTAAAATGATTCTCTGAACCAAACTCACAGCAAAGAAGCTTGGGGCCTCAGAAGTCGTGGCGTTCCTTGAGGGGATGTTCATCTAGAGACACCAGCGGGTCTAGAGCCTGCTGAACATCTCCTGCTCCCAACATTCCCCACAATCTGCCCAGGGCACTTGAGAAAACAGCTTCAACTATGAGGAATTCTATTACACGTGAGGGTTTCTCTCTTATACACATGCTACGTGGTATCTGTCAAGGGTCTTTCCTAGAGGAGCTTTGAAAAGCTAAGGGACAAGGATCTCCCTGATCCTGGCAAGGAACAGTGGCAGGCAAGGACCATTCCTCTAATTCCCCACTGGGACTCTGGAGGGACAGCCAAGTGATGGCACAGACCCAGAGGCACACTGGAAGCCCAGGCCTTTTCTCACTGGACTTGCGCCTGTCCAGCTGCTGACTGCCAGCTCCAAGAGAGCTGCCCAGAGACGGGAAAACCCTCTGAGTTAGACATTTTGGCCTGCACACCTGCTCACGTGGGGCCAGCACCAGCCACAAGAGACAGCTGCTGGTAGGTGGCTCTGTGGGCCCAGCCTTGGGAGACAACTGCCACCTAGGGAGGTCTCAGAATTCCCCAAAGCACACTGGAGCTGCAGCCTGAGGATTCAGGTGGCTAGGAGTCTGCTCAGGTTAATCAGTTCAACTGTCTGTGCCTCAGTTTCTTCATCTGTTAACCCCCTGGGGTTGCTACATGAATTAGATGAGTTATACCTATCAAAGTGCAGCGTGTAACAGTCTATACTAGTAGCACTTCCTGTACCACTCTGTCCCCCTGGCCATCGGTGTTCTGGGCAAGCTGACAGAAGGCAGCTTTCTAACAGGCAAAATCCCCCTGCTAAAGCTGCCTCCTTACAGAAACGAATTGAAAACTACCTAGGCAAGGAACCGGACCAGGTTTAAAGGACAAACTGAGTGCCTATTACACAACCCATAGTAAGGGCTCCATGGGACAAGCTCTGCCTGGCTGCCCACCGGCCTGCCTCCCCGAAAGCAAAAGAAGACAAACGTCACTGCGGGTTTCACTGTCTCCTAGCGGCTCCGCTGCCCGAACTCCGGGGAAGAGGTGCAGGAACCCTGAGAAAAGGGGATCACACAGAACGTCGCCGAACCGGTACTCTGGAAAGAGGTGCCAAGACCCGAAAGCTCTCCAGACAACCTGGGGAGCCACAGCCACACGCCAGGGCCAGAGGGCGCGCGGCCGGGCCGGGGCCACGTTTCCCAGCGCGAGCGTGTGAGCGCTTCCCCGCGGGGAGCGCCGCGGAAACCGCGCACGTGAGGGCAGCCCGGGCCAGCCCGCACGCCCGGCGCGAAGGGACTGTGCAAAGCTGCAGCGATCGCCTCCCCGGGAGCCCCGCCACCGCCACGGAGGCCAGCCCCCTTCGCCTCCCCCGCCGCAGCGCCGCCAGCACCCGGGACCCGGCACCCTCGCGGGGTAGGCGGAAGGAGCGGAGCGGCGCGCTCCCCAGAGCCCGGGCTGCGCGCGTCTGTTCCCGGGGAGACCCTGGCCAGCCGCGGCCCCCGGGACAGCGTGGTTTCGGGGCGCTGACGCGCGCGGGATGCAAACGCGCGCGCGCGCCCCTGCTCGGCTCGCTCGGAGCCCGGCGTCTCCCCGCGCCTCACCTTCACCGAGTCCACCGGGTACATGACTGAGTGCTCCAGGATCCCGGCCATCGCTCCGGCTGTCATGTGGGTGGATACGGAGGCGCTGGTCGGCAGGTTCTCATAGTCCTCCGGCCCGGCGGCGTCCTTGCCGCCGCCGCCATCTCGGCCGTCCCCATCCATCCTGCACCCCACAGCCTGGCTCCCCACGCCGCCGCTGCGGAGCTCCATCCGCCGGCTCCGCGGGGCGCGGGAGGCTGCAGGAGGTGGGCAGGGAGGGGGAGGGGGCGAAAAACTTCACTTCTTAAAGTGGGAACCACCTCCCCGGGGCTGCGGCGCCTGACGCCATGGCGGGCTGGGGTGGAGCGGAGCGGCCCGCGCCTCCAATCACTGGAAAAGAAGCGGCCGGCCGCCGCCGCGCCATTGGTGTGCGGGACGCGGGGGCCCGCCTCCCTGTGTGACGTCACTGTCCAGTGCACATTTCCCAGCAACCGGACGGGGGCGAGGGGAGACGTTGGGGAGTCCGGGGAAGTTGTACCTTGAGGATGGTGCGGGTCCGCTAGGGGCAGGCAAGCGAGGTCACCCGGGAGGGTCGGCCTGGCCGCAGGAGGATATGCCCAGAGCTGGAGATCTGTGGCTCAGGGAAAATCCGCCCCCAGGGCTGGTGGCTTTGCAAACGGTATTGCTCAGCAAGCTTTGGCATTCCTAAGGCCTGAAGTTAAAACTCAACATCCCGTTCTAGACTGCTTTGTTCAAAATTTATTCTCTTACTGAAAACGCATAATACATAGCTAAATTTGTTCCTCCTTTTGTTCTCACAAAGAGGCCAAATCCATCCTGCCCTAGGTTGAACTAGACTGGGAGTAGTAACCAGGATGGCGCCCCTCTAAGCAGGCACTTCTAGCAAATTTTGCGTTTGAGATGCCCTGAAGGTCTTTAGAGGCCTGGTCTCACAGTAGGAGTGCCAAGTGGCTGAGAGTAAAATCTTACAGCCTTGCCTCTGTCTGTCTTATAATTTCTGCTCTACTAGTTTTTAACGTCATCCTTAACTGGCTTCTTCAATAAATTGTAATCCAGGCTGTTTTAACTTAACGTTGTCTTGCTCCATCTGGGGAAAGGGAGAGAGGTCAAAAAATAGGATAAAGACCTGTATGTCTACTTATGGAATGTCTGCTACCGAAATGTGCACATTCCAAGGCTCAAGACGACTGGAGTTGATCCATCAGCTTCTTTGGCAGTAGGCCCTCTCTGCCTTATCTGGATGAGGCTTCTGGTCAGGGAGGCTGGGCCTTGAGATACGAAAGAATGGAGGGGACCCTAAAGATGCTGCACCTGCTCTCTGCCCTCATACTGGTCCCAAAGTTCAGGTCATAGCATCCCAGGCAGCTTTTAGGGATGTGAGAGTCAGTAGAGGCATGAGGACCAAGGCTACTGTTTCCTCATATTTGATAGCTTCAGATAGTAGCTCCCAAAATGGATGCTAAGGAAATGTGATAGGTAGAGACAGGCTCTGTGTTTAGTAATAGCTAGAGAAAAAATTCTGTACTTTGGTCAAAGGTGATTTTTTAAGAAATGTTGATTAAAAGCTGCTGATACTCATTTTAAAAATGGATGCCCTTTAACCAGTATGTAAGAACCCACTGTCCCACTTCTGGATATGTGACACAAAAACCTAAATGTGCATAAAGCTCTTTTTCAAAGCATTGTTTATAGTAGCAAATAATTGGAAACAAGCTCCATGTTCAACCAGAAGGGAATGGCTAAGGAAATTATGACGCATGTATTAGTGAAATATTATGCAGCCATTAAAAATTATGACTATATTATGCAACAACATGGGAAATGATTATAATGTAATGTTAAGTGAAAAAGCAAAACAAAATTCTATAACCATTACTCTCACAAAGATGTAAATATTCACAGGAAAAAAGTGAAGTAGTTATTATTATAGAGATGGAGGATTGATTATAGGCAACTATTTCTCTGTTTTTCAGACTTTAATACTTGTATTTTTCTATAATTTAAAAATTAGACGAATGAATCATTTTTAGGATATATATGCCATATATAGTATATACATACCCTCCACTATATATATACTGTATATCCTATATAGATGTGCATGTGTGTTATATACACTTCCTAATGGATGAGAAACCCTCTAAACTTTGCAGTGGTGACATTGATGGAAAGAAATGACATTTTGGATGTTTTAGAGGGTTCTTGGAAAATATGAATATGTTGTAATCTTCAGAGACATGATTTTTAAAATTTTTATTAAATAAATGTAAAGTCAGAACCAATTGAAATTCTTTGGAATATTTACTATAAGTATTCAATATTTTTTTCTCCCCATATCTGGTAAACACGGTGGTTTGGCACTGAGTATCCATCTTATGTTCCTTTTTGGACTGCTGTGGCTAGAACATTTAAAGCCACATTTCCCAGACTCCCTTGCAGCCAGGGATCTAGCTGTGAATTATATTGTGCCAATAAATGAACTGTCAAGATCTGGAAGGTAGAAGTGACATGTGGTTCCCTTCCTTCTGCTTTGATGTTTTCTGCTGCCTAGCAAGGTCAGAGGCACTTGAGGTAGGAACAGTTGCTGTGGGCAGTGGCTTCTCTGCCACATCAGCATTGCAGTGTCTGGTCACCAGATTCGTGGGTGTTGAGAGTCATCTGTGGCAGTGGGGTGACAGTAATGATGGTAGCCTCCTGGTCCTTGTGCCATGGCTTCAGTTGGTGGCCTTCTGATTCCTAACCTTCGAGGCCATAGCAGATGTAGCCACTCCCTTGGGAAGCCAGTTTGGTAGCATGGATCTGCGCCTCCACCCCTCCCCACAATACTGTGTGTAGCAGCAAAGGTGTTGCAGCAAAGGTGATGAAGGCACCATCCCAGATGTCAGAATGCAGCAGCCAACCCTGCTCCTAGCCCTCTGGGGACGCCCTGCTGAGAGAGGGCAGCATTCCAGACACCATACCCCAGTGCTTGGGCCACACCACCAGCAAAGAGGGAGCAGTTCTGTCTTTGAAAGGCAAGAACATGAGGACCCAGGAGCAGAGGAGTGGCAGCTAAATTGATCCTTTCCCATGGTGCAGGCTAGGAGACTCAGAATGACTTGCTGCTTCTACCAGAGTCTTACGTAAAGTTCCCGAATGTTGAAGTTCTGAAGATGTCATCATGCTGCCTTAGCCCAACTGGGAGCCCAGCTCAACTTAGAAAGGGGAAGCTATAGAGCGTGTGGGGTGCAGAACACCTGGCTTGGAGTCACAGACCTGTGCAAACCCTGGTGCCACCAGTGACTAGCTGCGTTTGGGACATGGTGTCTGGAATGCTGCCCTCTCCCACCAGGTGTTCCCCTATTTAGCTGGTGCACTTCCTCCTCTGCAGACTGTGGTCATCGCTCCCTACCCCATGGTGAACGAAATACAGAAAAATAAAATGAAAGCTCATGGTGAAATATACATAATTTGGGGGTGTTGGGAGGAAAGAGTACAGAAAGTCAGGGGTGCAGAGGGAAGAGGCCCAGGTTTTCTCCAAAATTCTGCTTTTTTCACAATAATTACTGTGACCCTGACATCTGCCTGCCCACCCGTGCGACACACAGATACAATACCACCCTACCCAGAATTTAACCAATGCTGGGTCTGGCCCTGGGGTTCCAGCACTCCTCTGCCATGCGCCAGAGAGAAGGCCCCTTGCCACTGCAAAGTAACTGCAGGCACCAGGTGGTGTGGTACCAGGGTGATCCGCTCTACCTCCCAAGAGCCTGCCTGTGCGCTGGTGTCCTCTGAGGCTCCTGCTTGAGTCCACTAGTAATCGTGCTGTGTGACATGGCTAGGCCACCACAAGAGCTCACATCTTTCCTTCTTCCCTCCCTCTCCTCACCTATTTCCACAAATATACTCAGCGCCTCCATCACCTAATAAAATCTCCCTTCCGTGCCCCACACCTTAAGCTCCTTCCCTCCGTCCCTCCTCCATCCTAAAGCCCTTGGAAGAGGAAACTCTACCGCCCTCTCTCCTTGCAGTGCACTCAGTTGTTAACCCTTTGCGTGATGGTTTCTAACCCCAGCGATTTTCTACGGGAACCCTACAAAGGTCACCAGTGACCTCAATGCCCAATCACTGCTCCTCCCAGCAAACTTCTCCACCTCCGCCTCCTCTGGAATTCCTTTCTCACTTCCGCTCTCTTTCTTCCTGCCCTTCTGCCTGCTCCCTCTCTTTCCTCTCTTCCCATTGGTCATCTCCCCATTCCCATGCCCCAGTTACCAAGCCCAGCTCCTTGGAGCTGCAGTCGCCCTGTGCATGTGCCTCCCAGACGGTTCTACCCGATTACTCTGCAGACCTGAAGCTCAGGAAGTATACGGTACCCGTGTTCTGGGGCTGCTGTAATAAAATACTAATACCACAAACTGAATGGCTTAACACAACAGAAATGTATTGTCTCGCAGTTCTGGGGAGGACGTGAATTTGGGGGGTACACTGTTCAGCTCAGTACAGTGAGATGGAGGCAAGAACTCTAAGAGGCCTGGGTTCTAGTCCCAGTATTTCTTGCCCTCATTCCTTTATCTGTGAAATGATGGTCTGGATTGGACTCCGTGGTCTGCAGGGCTCCCTCCAGCTCTGTCTTTCTAATCTAAAACTAAATTCACTACAACTATTATTTACCCACAATAATATTTTTAAACAGAGTCTCGCTCTGTTGCCTGGGCTAGAGTGCCGTGGCATTAGCCTAGCTCACTGCAACCTCAAACTTCTGGGCTTAAGTGATCCTCCTGCCTCAGCCTCCCAGCGTGCTAGTATCCATAATAATTAAAAATATTTAAAAAGTTAAAAAATAAAAATACACACATAATCTTTCCTCACAATCACCAACTCCTTCTAATGTCATTTCCCACCCCCTGCATTGTACCTTCTTTTTACCACCCAACCCTCTGGCAAGCTTAGAGTCATTTCTGACTCTCTTTTTCTACCTCTTGGATCCTATTAGCCATGTGTAGATTTGGCATCTGGCACAGCATCCCTTATACCTACAGTGACTAAATAATTTATCCTTCAAACTGGGACACTTTTTGAAAGTGAAAAGGGTCACTGTTAATAAGTACACCAGGACATATGGTCACACTAATTATAGTTAGCCCCTGTTTGTTGTCTCCCAAAACCATCTCCCTAAATCTGTGGCACTTTTCTTTCCTTACATCCTCTTAAAGGGCAGACCCTCTGTGTCTTCACTGTTGAAATGGGGCTCAACGTCCACTTCTCAGGTTAGATGCAT